CATGTTGAATAAGACTGTTTTGCCCTTGTGTAGCCAATTCTTCCCGTTTCGGACGAAGGTCGTGCGGCCACCAGTTTTTCGCTCTGAGTCGGTGCAACATGCACTGGCTGGCATGAAGCAGCAACTAGCTGCTCACCGATCGCCCGGTCGCGGGCGCCTGCAGGCGTGGCAGAGCTGGAATGAATTTCGAGCTTCGCACAAGCATCTCCGGAAAACCTGTCTGCAAGCCCGTAAACAGCGCATATACGATCTCATTGAAAGGGCGTCACAGGCTGCATCTAGGGACCAAATGAGTGAGGTCTTTCGTGTAATGCACCAACTGGCTCCTCGACAGCGTCGTGAGGCTGTTAGTGTGCGCTCGGCAGAAGGGTTTTTCCTAGATGAGCAAGCGCAGTTCGACTCCATCTTGACATATTTCACGCAGGCCTTTTCTAGTGAAGACACTTACCAGTGGGAGGGTAACTACGTTGCGCCGGATCTCACCTGCATTGAACTTTCGGATGCCATTGCGCAGCTGAAGCCCCGCAAATCTGTCCCCAAAGGAAGTCTCCCTGCGGAAGTGTGGCAAGCCATGCCAGAAGCCTTTGCAAGCAGTCTGTGTTGCACGTATTCTCAGGGGATACAGTCACAGCCGCCAATCCTGCCCAGCGAGATCACGCACTGTAGCCTTGCGCTCCTTCCCAAGCCACATAAAAAGTCACGGCTCCCTAAAGACCTTCGCCCCTTAGGAGTCCAGGACCCCGCCTCTAAGGCCGTGGCGATTGCCCTCCGCTGTAGACTAGCCCCTGAGGTCAGTAGTCTCCTAGAGGCCATGCCACAATTCGCATATTGCAAGGGCAAGTCGATTGACGAGGCCATATGCCGAGTCATGGAGCACTGCCGTGCCGTGCGACAGCGAATTAAGGAGGGTGTGGTTTCGGTTCACAACAAAAGAGCTGGTGCTAAGGCTGGAGTGTGTTATGGAGGTATCATGGTTGGGCTCGACTTGAGCCGAGCGTTCGATTGCTTAACCCGTGCCACTCTTCTCCGTTCGCTGCAGTTTGCTGGTGTTTCTAGGGAATTGCAGTGTATACTCCTCGAGATTCATCAACAGTGCTGTTACGAGATAGCTCACCAGCGTCGCAAAGGCACATTCCGGCTCGGCCGTGGTGTTCGCCAGGGCTGTGCAGTGTCTCCGATGCTGTACAGCCTGTTCACGATATGGTTGCTGGCGGAATTGGGTGAAGCCACTGATAAGGGTTGGGTTAGCCAGATGGTTACGTGTTTTGCAGACGATAGCCACCTTGCCTGGACCATCGAACAGCCTGGCGACTTAGATTTTGTCTGTCGCTCGCTTCGTGCGGTTTTCGCCTGCTCCGGAGCAGTGGTATGACCGTCAACAGTGACAAATTCTCCCTAGTGCTATGTCTTCGTGGCTCTGCAGCACGTCGCTGGATCAAAGCACACACTGTGCGAGCCTTTGGCAAAACATGCATCAATTTCGGGCTGCCGGGCGAACCTCTGCTCCTGCCGCGGGTTGAATCGTTTGTGTACTTAGGTGTGGTGGCGTCCTACCAGCTTTTCGAGCAGCAATCATTTGTGCACAGGCGTCAAATAGCAACCAGCTCCAGATTGAGGTTGATTAAGCTACTTCATAGCAAACAACTTCCTCTTTCTCGAAGGGTTTGTCTGTATCAGGCTTGCGTCCGGAGTACGCTCCTGTACGGTCTACACGCTGTAGGCGTAAATGGAGCTGTTCTTGCCCAACTGGACGCCATCGACGCGCGATTTTTGCGTGGCATTGCGCGGTGTCCGGCGCACCTGACGCATGAAAGCAACGAAGCCCTGCGTCAGAGACTCCACATAAGCAGTCCTTCTGAGTCCTTGCGTCAGCTGCTCCAGCGCCGCCTCTCACGCTGTGCCCAGTCGCAAGCGGCCCGGGCCATGCAACGTACCCTGACACTGATCACTGTGCCCGTAGCTTCTAGTGCCTCTGCTAGGGATCCCCGCGGGGTTCTTGTTTTGTGTGACTACCCTGCTCGTGTGGCCTGCCCAACCTGTGGTCAATACTTTGGTAGTGTTCGTATCATGCATACGCATCACACGAAGCAGCACGGTCCCTTACTTCGTGCGACTCGGAAACCCACAGCGAGAGAAATGCATGTTCACTCTGTTGACGGAATGCCTGAGTGTATACATTGCAAGCAAACCTTCACAAGGTTCGAGGCTTTACAGAAACACCTTCAGGGATCCTGTCGCATTTTGCACGCTCGGCCTGCAGAAACACTAGCGCATCTGTCTGCTGCTGTAGTCTCTTCGGCGAAGGGAGCCGGGGAGGCGGAGGGTGTTCAGGGGCATTCGTGCCAGATCCCTCAAACTGTTTGTACTCCGCGGGCTGAGCTCGTTGTTCTTCCTTTGCTTGAACAGCCGGACTTCCGGGCTGTTGCGCGGGAGGGATGGCGCTCCGTATTGCAAAATGATGAGCTAGTGCGGAAACTGCGCAGTCACTGCTTCATCTGTGGCCAGTGCATGGGTGTCCATGTCGGGCCCGGGGGCCAAGCAGCACATACGCCTAGCGCATGAAGCACATTGGATTCATAAGGATGCCGCCAACAGCCTGTGTTCAAGCACCGCTGGGCTTAGTGCTGCCACGCCCTGCGCCTACTGTCAAGGACAGTTCAAGCTTCCTAGATCACACCTGCGGCATTGCCCAGTGCTGTTTCAGGCTGCACTTGCACATTTGATCACTCGCCAGGAGAACAATGGCCATGGCAGAGGAGGACCTCCGAGCAGTTGCCAAGCGGGAGGCGGAGGAGCTTTGGGGCCCAGCACCGGAGCGTGCCTCTCAGGCGTCCACGGCGGAAACCCTGGAGGCAGATCCGCAAAAGAAGTATCCAAAGCCCAGCTACAAAGGGCGTTTCGGCAAGGGGCAGTCCTGGTCGGCCAACGAGAGCTGGTGGAAGCAGCAGGGTCAGCGCAACCAGCAACAGGACGAGGAGACGAAGATGGACCAGGCGACGGTGGAGCTGATCAAGGCGGTCACCAAGATGTCAGTGCATCCGCCACGAGGAGGAATTGGGCCGTCTTCGGACGGAAACCAATTTCATGTGCTTCTGCGACGTGGATGGCGAGAAGAGCATCCTCCCGGCCATGAAACAAGCGGCCAGCAACTGGCAAGACCTACGCTGCGGGGAAAGTGACAACGTCACTGCGGGTGATGCTCTTCCAGGGCCTCCTCCAGATCTTCCAGAAGGAGCTCCAGCAAGTTCTCGAGGAGGAGGAACTGCGGACTCGCCTCCTGCGAGTGGGTTGGATTTCGGAAGGAGCTACGGCGTTAACTCGGGTGTGGCATTATTACCGATGGGATGCCGAGAGCCGATCCTCAGTGAAAGCCGACCGCCCGCCACTGACGCACGAGCAGGTGCAGGAGTGTGTGGCGGTTCTCCTCCGCACCACATGCCAGCCCGGGGTCTTGCTGAGGTTCCGGTCGACTCGCCCGCTGGGCACACATCAACCCAGCGAAGTGGCCCCCTTTCTGCTCTCCATCGGCCTGAGGGGCAACCATGCACAGGAGGCCTACACCGCCCTGAGCCACCTCTCCGACAACGGTGCGTGCAAACTGCTGGCGATGAGGATCCGACCAGAACGCCTGGCCAAATCGGCGCAGGCCAAGGCAGTCGAGGAAGCTTACCTCCAGACTCCCTTCACGGACTGGACCCGTCGCGCGGCCACCTGGTCGGTCGGAGCAGACACCTCGATGCGCAGCTGAGCTCAGGAGGCTCAGAGCGCAGGCCACATGTTGTCCGCAATGTAGTGTTTCGAAGCCATGTGCAGCTCGCTGCACGGAATCTTATGCCAACTAAACTTCGCAACCCTCACTCTGTTTGCTATCTCAATGCTTCGGCGCAGGCATTTTGCTGGTTGGGCTTTCTGGCTGCGGACCAGGAGTCCTGTTTTGGACAGGCCCACTCTGCAATACGCTTGCTTATGCGTGGGGGCACACACTATTTGCCCAGCTGCCTTCAGTGGCTGCCTTTACTTAGAGGTTGGGCTGATCTCTCCCGGCAGCATGATTGTTGTGAGTTCATGATGTTCTTGCTTCGACGTGCTGCACCTAGTGCGTATGTAGGCTTGTGGCAGTCTCGCATGTCTGCACCGCACATTGTCCGAGAGGCTGGGGACCTGTCTTCGCCGATTCTACTGGACATGCAGAGTGGGTCTCTGCAGCATCTTGTAGACCAGTGGACCCACCAGGCTGCGGTGCATGCACTAGTCCAACACTCTGGCCTGGTAATGCTCCAAATCAAGCGGTATGGGTTTGAGCATGATGCACCCACCAAAACCCTTGCCCCTTTGCACCTGCAGCCGGGTGAAGTCGTTGTTCTACCGCAATTTGCCTCACAAGAAGGCCTGGAGCTGCAACTTTTGCGTTTCCGCGTGGGTTATGTGATATACCATCTAGGGCACACTCCTGACACAGGGCATTATCAGGTTGCACTAAGTGAGAAACGTGGTCAAGCCGCCACAGCTCCCTGGCAATTTGCCATCTGCAACGATGGGTGTATTCCCAGACGCGCAGCCCCCTCTGATCTGCACAATATTGCCATCAACTGTTACCTGATAGGGCTTATTAGGGTTGACCCTGATGACCCCTAGCCTCACTGTGTCTCCTGTGCCTCTGTTAATGCACCCGTCGACCTCCGAAGCGATGTTGATATTCACATCCGGCCTGAGCCGTGCAAATAAGCGAGTTGTTTTTGCTTTCCAACCTGATCCGATGCAGTTACATTTTGACATGTCAGTTCGCCCACGTCTTTAGTTGTGCACCCTCTGTGCCTTCGGGCTCAACGAAGGGGAATGCTAGATCTGAGCCAACGTGGCTCGCCCGCTTGCCCAATTTCTTCAGCCTGATGCTCAGAGTGCTTGCTCTCCAGTGGCCGCCTAACTGTGTGTGGCCTGCCGCAGTGTTTTCACCCGAGATGCAGGCGCAGACACCATGCACCGTTTGCCTACCTCAGCCCATGCAAGATGTGGCTCTGGAGGAAAGGCTGCTCCTCAACGCGTATCGGCAGCTTCTAGGGGAAGCTGCCGCTGCTGCGTGCCCGCCTGCTCTGGTCATGGCCTCGCGCAACGATCTCGTGTCCTATGCTTGCCGTACTCTGCCCGAGGCTGAGCAAAGGGTCTTATTGGACTATGCTGATTCCTTGGCGCGACGCTTCTCCTCTACTGGCATCGAGCGGTATCCCTTGCCGCTGCGCTGTGCGGAGAAACCCACGGAGGCAGAGGACAGAGCACACGCTCATCTTCTGGAGGGTAGCGGCTCCTTATGGGTTGCCCTCCGGGATGTTATTGTGGCACTGGACTTTGGTGCTGATGGTCGGCCAATAGCTGAGGGCCATGTTTTCTACCTCGGCTCCTACTGCAAAGGAGGGGCCGTTGGCGTATGCAGGCATACCAGGTATCATGGCAATGTCTGCCGATTGCTCAATGCGGCTCTCCAGGCGATCTGCCCGGACTTTGCTTGGTCTACTCTCGCAGTCTCCCTCAATAATGGGGTCAAAGTTCATACGGACAGATGGAATGCCTCTGCACCGTGTCTACTTGTTGGCTGTTCCCATCATGATGGAGGAGAGCTCTGGATAGAACAGCCTGGAGGTGTGGCTTGCCTCGAGCACGAAGGTACTCAGCTGTTTGGCACTGCCCTGCCCACCAGCGCCATGGTTGTGATGTTCAGTGGCAAGGAGCAACGGCACGCCAACCTGCCATGGTCCAATGGTGATCGCTTTGTGCTCATTGCTTTTCAGACGGGACATTTGGCGAGCTTGCGGCCCGCGGAGAGGCGTATGCTGCTTGATTTTGGGATTTGTTCTGCCCTAGCGGTGGCCATGGCGCAATAGAGCAATGCCTCTCTTAATTCCTGCCCTTCCCCTGCCCACCCAAGGCCAATCAACTGTTCCGTTTTGCGCCTGCCAGTGCTGCAACAGCCTGCATGGTGGTGTCCGAGCATAAGGCATTGCATAGCTGAGCCTTCTGATCATGGAGGCTGCTGCGTGGGGAGCCTGCAGCCAAAAAGTGTGTGCTGTCACAGCATCCGACTTGGTGTGCGACTGACAGATTGTGCTGGCGGCTCGCCACCATGTGTGCACATCCGCCTTCCGAGATGCATCCCACTGCTTCTCAGGTCACCAACATGGGCGGTAGACGTGGGGAGTCTGCTGCTTCGCGCGAGATGGCCCTGGCTATGGATGAGGAAGGGACTCATCGAGATGCTGGCCCCTCTTCTGGCCAAACTGCTGAGGCTGTGGTTTGGATGCGCTGCTGCAATAGTACTTGTGTTTTTTCGTTTTCGGTTTAACGGACACAAACACTGCTGCTCTGAATGCCGTCACACTGGTGCGCTCCGGCACTCCAGCCGATGCATGCATGAGCAACGCCTGCGAGCGCGGATGACTGGACCCAGCAGTGCTAGCGAGCAGGGCGGCGCAGCTTCATCTGGTGGCTACGACAATCGCAGCGAGTCCTTGCGCTGCGTTACAGCTGGGTGCAACCGGACCACGAATGGTACGCACCTGCATTGCTGCTCGACTTGCAAAAATTCGGATGGCAATCTGCACACCAGGCGTTGTCAGAGTGTGAACCCGCCAGCTGTGGTGCCAAACTGGACGACAACAACTGGGGCCAATGTAGCCAACGAGGCTGGCGAGGCCGTAGCTACACTTGCAGCTGACAGCACATTGGTCGCTACATCGGTCGCTACAGGGCTCGGTCAGACTGGCCACGATACTTCACTTGCTCTCAGTACGGTGGCTGTACAGCTCGTCGATGGCAGTGATAGTGATGTTGCTTGCAGTCCCCGTGCAGACCTCCTAGAGGGCATGGACTGAGTTGGCATGTCTTTTGTTTTCCTCAGTTGCATTTATAAATAGTTGTTCTACAGGAGCCGTAAACTTACGGTGCGATGCACATTCGCCGGGCCGTACGTGCCTGTCCTCGCAGCGGATCATGGACGATTCGGCGCATCGAGTGAGAGTACTACTACTACTACTACTACTACTACTACTACTAGCCACCCCCCCTCCTACCAACCACCTGGCGCCTCAATCCACCACCATCATCGGTCATCATCATCCATCATCATCCTTCATCATGCATCATCATCATCATGATCACCATCATCAACCATCATCATAGAAGAGGGTCCGCCATCACGAAAGTACTGTAAATACCGAGTAAAACGGCTCTTGTG